TCCGATCATATCGAACGCTGACATGTTCTCGTGTTGCTTTTGCAACTCCGAGTTCATAGTAGCTAGCATGAGACAAGCGGCTTCGTTAGCATCATCAAAATGCTTCTTATAAGCATCTCTTTCTGCCTTAGGTGCCGAACTAGGCGGTTCCTCTTCAGGAACAGGTGTCTCCAAGACATACAACTTCTTATCGTGCTTGAGGACAATCCTCAGATTTCGGTGCCAATCCAGGAAATTTGTCCCAGACAATTTTTCCTTATCTAGGATTGATCGCAAAATATGGTTGTTTGTTGTCATGGTAATCTACAAAAAATTGAAAATATAAGTATCATTAAAACAACATATTTAATTAGGCCTTTAATCAAATATGCTCCCACTATTTTACTCAAACCAAATGACCCTCATCATTTGATTCGGAAAATCCCGTTGGAAGACTTTCTAGTGGGTCGATATCCATATTTCACTTCGTTCTAATTCAGTGTTAGGCTGATTACACAAAACTAGGTTATTTAGGTAGGAACTCCTTCCAATTGTATCTCATACAACTCTCGAATATTTTCAGTTGGGTGAATAACTCCTTATTCCAATTCATCATATGAATCATTCCCAACTCTTGCTTCTAAACATGTATAATCTTATTATAATGTGTTTAGTTAAGTTTGACCCATTGTTTTAGCAGTTGGATATTACAATTATCCCATCGCACCTTACTAATATAGAACATGCACCTCGCGTAGGCGAAACCTACATTGTTCGATACTAGTCTTGATGAGTGCTAAAACTTGGAAAGCATGAACTTAATATTTAACTTGAGGGATTTTGTTATTAGTTTGATCTCACCGGCTTAACATGCAATTCGTCTCTCTCATGCATCAACATACAAACACATGCATCAATATACATAAAAGGATACAGTTATGGCCCCTAGCGCAATTGTTCTCCCAAGACAATGAGAGAACCTAAGCTAACCTAATAAAGATCTAAACTTCTCCAAGCAAGATCTCCAAGGTTATCCTCCTTTGATATTGTATTCTTCTCTTTCTTCATAACATTACATTACATAAAAGAAACTCGTTTTACATACGAGGGAGTGAGATGAGAAAAGAAGTTACATCAAGAATTTTAGAGAGAGGCACGACACGCAGGCCGTATTTTACAATTCCAAAACAAAATAAAGGAAAAAACTAAGGCCATAACTGATCACCACAAGACAATAATAATAAACACACTTTTATTATTAGTTTAAATTTTGTTAATTAAAAAAAGGCAAATTAAATTTCGACGATTGATCACACTACGCAGAGTTAGTCGGGGGTCAAGGGGGCAGCGCCCCTTTGCGGGGTTGTTAGGGGCAGCGCCCCGACCCAAAATTTTAATGAACAATTCATTTGAAATCGGCATCATTTTCGCACAACTCTTGTGCATTCACAACCCTAATCGCATAACTCTGCAACAACACAACCCTTGTGCCGTCATGAACCCTAATGCAACAGTTTCATGTTGTCAAACACATTTCGATTGATAATTCAGTATGATTAATCACATGCCATTGCTTCACCATACTAATGTCGGATTCCGAAGCATATGAACAGTGATCGGTCAAAGGAATAACAATCATCAAGTGTTTGAATGAACGAAACAGAAACAGTATATCCCATATACCATCGTTGCATCAGATTTACTTATATCATATATAAAAGTGATCGATCTTATTTGTGTAACCTATGGACGATCGATGTATCGCTGCTTCACCATACTAATGTCGGATTCCGAAGCATAGTCAACATCAATCATCCAAATCGTACACAACAGATGCCAAATTTAATTACTCGTTTATTATTCAATTCATTCTGGTTTTAATCGAATCAAAACAGAAAATATAGAACATAAACAACTATCAGATCCATGGTTTCGTAAGTGGCTCTGATACCACTGAAGGAAAATTGCGATAAAAAACACAACGGAATTTAAAATTTTCCTTTAGCGATCCTTACGAATGAACATGGTCAATGATAGAAATATTTACCTCTTGTGGCGATTCAGACCTTTGATGTTGTGATCACGAGCGTTGATGAAGAACAACGCCTCTACTCAGTCCACACGAACAGATCGCTTATGGTCACAGTGCTAGCTGATCACGAACGGAAACCTTGAGTAAGAGAGAGAATCAAAAACGAAATTGCATCAAGTGAAATTGCTTCATCACAAGGGGTCTATTTATAGAATCACTCGTATGGGATACAAGCTAAAAGCCTAATTAAGGCTATAAGCTAAAAGCCCAATTAAGCTTATGGACGTCATACCTTATGATGTACCATATATCACTTATCCACGTGGTACCTTACCACTTTCCGTATTACACTTAAGTGCACCGTACCTTACAGTGTTCCTTATTTATTCTATCTCTCATCAACCTGTCCTTATGTGTGTGACCCTGTAGGTTTTCGCGACGTTGGCAATTATATTAAATCATACATTTAATATAATAAACAGTGAGCGGTATCTAGCAACACATCACTGTTACCCAAGTCACGAAAATGTCATGTGATCTGACCAAACCTTTTCCGTGATAATATTTGTGTTGTACAATTACCCTTTTGCCCTCATGTCTATATTGAACACAAGGCATACACTGTGTCACCCTTGTCCAGTTCAATATTGGGCCCTTAGACATTTATCCTGTTATGCAGGATGAGCAAATTCCATCTAGGTCACTCATGTCCCTTAGCATGCTTTGTGAAGTACCCATCAACCGTCTTTATAGTCATCCAGTTACGGATGACGTTTGATCAGCAATAAAGTACTTGACTCTACATCTAGGGTCCATAGTGGTTTCAGGTCGAAGGGTGGTATACACCATTATCATCATGAGAATAACTTATGACACTTTGCATAACATTCTATGTAGTATTCTCATAGCGGGTCAATCCAGTATAAATATTACTCCTAATATTCATACCTATGTCAAGACTTGATAACTCCTTATCTATGATCCATGAGATGTGATCATCAATCTATCTTCATAATAATCTTAATGCTTTAATGTTATCCCACTTCACATTAAAGCTTGACTACGGATACTTTAAGAATAGTGTCTTATGTTTAATGGGATCTCATGATTAAGTCACACTTAACATTTCATTAAACAAATAAACCATTCTAGGGACTTTATTATTTTGGAAAGCAAACATAATAAAGAAATGCCCTTTTATTATTAATAAATTATTCGATTCAAGTACCAAAAGTATTGGCCTCTAGGGCTTACACCAACATTCGGGGGATAGGTTATGAAAAGGGAAGGTGTTAGCACCCGTTTCATCCGTAGTTATCTACGGGCTCTTAATCGCTAGCTCACTTTGTTTTTAAAATGCTTTTTGTTTGTGTTTGAAAAATATTTTGAAAATGCCAATAGCGAGGTAACTTTGTAATGATTCTTGTATCAGTTTAAGAATGCGTACAAAGTGTTTATTTGAAAATATTTTTGAAAGTGTGATTGTGAGAAATTTTTTTGTTTTGAAAAGTGTGAGCACGAGATTAACAGTATTCTACCCTTACTCAAGGTCTTTCGCATTTTTTTCCTCCTCTTTTAGATAGTATTATCCTACCATTAGTTAGTAGGAAGCCCTATTGTTGGATGTGAAGGGACAAGTGTGGGTCATCGTATAGTCATAAAGGCAACTTGTGGGGGCGCTTTAGCAATTTCTTTAAGGGACTAAGATCGTTTATCAAAGGCAGCATCGAGAGGGTCATCGAGGGACTACGATCTTTTTAATCGAGAGACAGTGCTAAAGCATCCCCACATTCGAGAGACATGACTGTGTTTCGTTCCGAAGGCAACAAGTGAGGTTACCCTAGAGGTACGAGTGTGAAGATTGATTTGTATTTCAGTTATTTTTATCTTGAAATTAGGGTTTTCTACAATTGTTTTTAATCTTTCCATACAAACCCTATTAGCATACATCTAACAGTTATATACAAAGCATAAAAGTATAAGTGCAGAAAAAATAAAATCCCACACTATTACAAGGCTTCGGGAATGGGGGTACAGATAGTAAAAAATAGGGAAAACAGTAAAAGCTAATTAAACTATTACAAACTGTAAGCATATACATAATTGGAAAAAGTACGTGAAAGTAATAAAGTACGCGAAGCGATAAAAAGGAAAAGAAAAGAGAAAATTGTTTTGTGATCATTTTGATGAAAAAGTTTGATGATTAACCTAAAACCTAATTTATTTTAATTAATTAAAAAAATTTAGTTAATTAAATTAAACAAAATCCTAAAATCTAAGTTGATTTTAATTTAATTAAAAAAACCTAAAAAATTAAATTAGGGTTGATTAAATTTATAAAAAAAACTAAAATTAAATTAGGGTTTGTTAAGAAAAATCAAAGGTTTGTGAAAAATGTTTGGTTTTTTTGTGAAAATAATGAAGAAAAGGAAAGGCAAGAGCAAGAAGAATAGAGAATTGTGTAAAATAACCAAAGGGGTAGGGGTGAGTGTTGAACCCACGCCCTTGAAACCTTCAACCAACACCTTCATCACTGGGTCAAGCGCGCCTTGGTGATAGGAAACAGGTTCAGCGTGTTTTGTAATTAAACCTGCAAAATATGTAAATGTTAGGAAAATAAGTGGCAAAAGGTTGGATCGAACTCATGCCCTTTAACACCAATGACTTAACGCGCGCGCTTCTACTGCTGGAGCGGTGATACATCCGTTAGTTTAAATAAAATAAATAAAATAAATATAAAACATGAATGTATTGACTGGAGAGACGCCGGAGTCCTTGCTCCGGTCGTCTTCTCCGGTAACCTGTTTATTCAACCTGCAAGAATATAAAAAGTTAGCAAGTGAAAAACACCCTACCCCCCTAAATCAAGGGTTGCGAATCCAATGGAAGGATTATTTGGAGCTAAAACTGACTGGTTTAGTCGCTATAGCAAAAACAACGTGGAATTGGTGTAACCATGGTGTTTCATGGTTTCGATTGCATGGGACCTCTACGATGATCCAGACCTGAGCAAAGATATCTCAGAAACATGATAATGACATTAGCATGGCTTAAAACAAAGTGAAAATCAAAATATGAAATTTGTGAAAAATTATGGGATCGAAGATGAATTCATTGCATTTCATATGTTTTGGAACATCAAAATTGATCCAACCTTACTCTGTGTGATTGCAAGGAGTGAATGGGATGGTTATTTTGTAGTGAAAGGGTTTGTGATAAGGGTTTCAAGATTTTAGGGTTCTTGAAAAAATTTGATCTTTTTTGACAAGTTTGTGAGGAAAGGTTTCGTGTGTTGCTTGTATGAATACAATGGGATTATATAATGTGGAATTAGGTCAGAGATTTGTGGACTTGGACCATGTAAGAAAGGCCTTGTATTATTTCATTTAATTTTGACTTAAATTAATAAAAAATAAAAAATAAATTAAATAAAGAGATCAAAGGATGCATGAGTAAAAAGTGAGTTGTATGAGAAGTATAAAACACGCTTGGACTTCAAAACAATGGCCCAAAAATCCAAAATGTCAAATTTGCTCAATTTGAACTTCATGTATTTGCTCAAAATTTCCCAACTTGCACTGGTCATAACTCACTCAATTTTCATCTTTTGAAGAGGATATTGGACTTTTTGGAAATATCAAGATGTCCTCTACAATCTCTATTTTGACTATTTTTGAATTTGGAGAGTTTATCTTGATGTAAGTTGCCTTGACAAAAAGTGTCTTTTTGTTGACTTTTGAAATGACCTGTAATGTATTGGCTTATATCTCTCAAATGATGCACTTTTTGGACTTGATCTTAGAGATACAAAGTTGTGGAGAACTTTATTTCCTTAAAAATGAGCTCTGATTGGGAAAAAGCTGATGAAGCATGTGAAAGTTATGCTTGGTCAAAGTTCAATTGACTTCTCCTAAGGAAACCCTAATTTAGCAACTTTTAACTTTTGATGATTTGAGGGTTTTTCTTGAGAAATCATGATCAACCCTTGATCAAATGATGAATACCACTTTAAAATATTGATGTTGACCAAAAATCTAACTTGACTGTATGTTGACCATAGTTGACTTTTTGTCCAATACAGTTAATTTTCAGTTATCTGAGCTATTGATTGAGCAAATTTGTGATGCAAGGCTTGAAATTTGGCATGAGCATCCTTGAGGACATATGAAGAACCATGAAAACCATTTGAGATCTTAGAAACCCAAATTTCCTTATGAAAGATGAAACCCTAGTTGTAAGTCTATTGCTTAGGAGGAGAATTTATCTGATCAATTCTTGAACAACCTTGAGCATTTAAGAACCTAGGAGAATGTCTTGAAGAAAATGAGAGGAAAAATTTTAGAATACAACAGATAATATCCAAACAATTCATTCTTAATGAAAGCTTCTTTCTCACTAGAGCTCAAGTACTTAATTTCATTACTCATCATTTTACTTGAACTTGAAATGTTCTTATAAACCGACCGACAATTAATACCTTGCCACAAGAAAATATTTATGATAAAATGCTTAAGTAAAATAAAATTAATGTTTTTTTATAACAAGAAATATATGTGGTTTTTTCATATATATATATATATATATATATATATATATATATATATATATATATATATATATATATATATATATATATATATATATATATATATATATATATATATATATATATATATATATATATATATATATATATATATATATATATATATATATATATATATATATATATATATATATATATATATATATATATATATATATATATATATATATATATATATATATATATATATATATATATATATAATTAACACACAAAAAAGATATTATAGGTAAAAATTGATGAACCATATTTGCCAAAATATTGATTTTAATCTATTAAAACTTTCAATTCAAAAATAAAAATTAATTTACACCCGCATCGCCCTAACCATAATCTAGTTTCACATTATTTAAAAATCAAAATTAATTATAATTTGTAAATAAACTGATACTACTATTCTTAAACTCAGGGAAGTCTCTTTACCTCTTTACAAAGATCAATACGTCACAAAAGTAGAAAAACAAAGAATGTTATTAAACAAGAAAAGGATGGGAATAGATTCCAAGTCAAAGAGTGACTGTTTTTAGAGTTATTGAAGTTGGTTATTAGTTGTTAGATCATACATATCATGTAGTATGTCACTTATGTTCATTATTTGCTCATTAATGAAAAGATAGGGGTGTGTCGAAAATTTTGATTATTTAAAAAAGTCGAGTTGATGTAAAATGAACTAATAAATAATGCATGCTTATGTCAAAAAATAGTAAAATGTTGACTAAATATTTATGACAACTTATTTGAAGGATTTTTAAATATGGACATACAAATCCAATGTTGGCTGCTATATGAACATCAGGATTTAATTTCCATAACTGTCCCACTATTTTATGAATTTCTTTTGATTTTGTTGAGAGCTTTTGTCAAAAATAACTTACACAAGCGCTTTTGTCATAAGATATGTCCAGATAAGATTTTACCGCGCCTCTAACAATGACATAGAAGCTTCATTTTGTGAACAATCTTCGCAACTTCTTGAAGACGATTCTGCCTGAATCGGATAATGAACTGATCTGGAATAAAACCCGGGTTCGCTAGGTTCAGGCAACAATTTTTCACCATTCAACATTAAGACTACAGATGACATGTTTGGTCTATGTTGTGGTATTTGTTGCACACATAGTAGACCAACATGAATGCATCTCAACATTTCACATGGAATTGTTGTTCCATGGAATAAGTCATCTATTAACTCTTGTGCCTTATCTTCATTCCATAGTCTCCATGCCTGAAATCAATGTTATTGTTATACTTCTGTTAGTATTAGATGATAGTAAATTTAAATCAATCTTATAAAGTCGTACAATGATTGTGATTTTGTTAATGGCGTGAGAATTTGTTCACACGACAATGTATCAAAATTAAAGTCTTAGATGATTACAGCAACAAAAAAAAACATTGATCCAAAAATGAAATAAATTGTAAACTTACATGACCAAGAAGATTAAGATTATGATGATGGTCATAAAAGTTTCTATTCTTTCTCCCACTAATTATCTCCAGAACAATTACACCAAAGCTAAATACATCTGATTTGATTGAAAAAGATCCATGAACAGCATATTCAGGTGGCATATAACCACTGTAACATAACCGTGAAATTTGAATGTCAATGTTAGTAAAAGGGTTAAACTTCAAATTTGATGAGGGCGAAAATACTAAAATAGCAACTAATATAGTAACATTTGGCCATCTTAAAAAAGAAATTCAATGTAAAATGGAATTGCAATATAATGGAGCTATATGACTTAGAGGTACTTACTATGTTCCCATCAATCTATGTGTTTTGGATTCATCTTGATCTCCTCTAAATGTTCTAGCTAGACCAAAATCGGATATTCTTGGATTCATATCATTATCTAGAAGAATATTACTTGTTTTCAGATCTCTATGGATGATTCTTAATCTAGAGTCTTGATGAAGATACAACAGTCCTCGAGCAATTCCATCAATAATTTGGAACCGTTTTGTCAGATTTAACTTTTCCTTTCGCGTTGAATCTAAAAAAATGCTTTTGAAGTTAGTGTGATAGTTAAATAATAGCAAAGAGTCAAACGAAGTAAGCATAGTTTGCATAGTGTGATGTTTCAAACCAAAAATGAAATAATCCAAGCTTCTGTTGGGCATCAATTCATAGATCAAAAGCTTTTCCTCTTGATGAATTGAACAACCAAGAAGTTTTACAAGATTACGGTGCTGAAGCTTCGCCATCAACATAACTTCATTTTTGAACTCTTCTTCTCCTTGTTCAGAATTTTCTGATAGCCTCTTGACCGCAATCTCTAGCCCATCTTCCAATACGCCCTGTTAATAATTTCAGAAAATTTTGAGACTTTGAAAAAATTAAGATTAACGAATCACCAAAAATGAGACTAGACTCTTCTAAAATGAGTAATATCATCCGTTTATATTCACTGACATTATATGCACATGCATAACAAATCACAATTGATTAAAATACCAACGATTTTCTGACTTTAACTGAGGCTTATTTGAATGAATCTAACTACCTTGTATACCGGTCCAAAACCACCTTGTCCTATCTTGTTACCGTCTGAAAAATGATTTGTGGCTTTAGATATGGTTGAAAAACCAAATATTGTTGATAATTGCACATCTTCCTTCTCCCTTTTGCACTTCCTATGAAATATTTTTAGCATCCCTAAAATGGTAGGAGATACCAATTGAATATTACTAAAAGGATATTTGGAAGAACATAAATATGACATTTATAATTGAAAAAACTTCTCTTCATTCTAATATTAAAATTCACCTGGCTTTGCAAGCTTCTTCCTCTTTTTGTATGTAAATGTGGCCAATCCAAGAATCATGACAAATAAAATGATTCCTCCAAGTGCCCCTGCAAGTTTCTTGTTGTTAAAGCTCCATTTATTTCTTCTATGATCTGAGGAAAAAATAAAGTATTCTCCATGAACAAATAAGCAGCCAGAAGCTTATTGAAATTCCACATACAAAAAAGTTTCCAAGAAAAGTGAAAGTACCTAACTCAGAAGCTGCAAGTCTTATGAAAATATCTTGTCCTTGGTCAATATGTTTTGTCAAGTCCCTTATCTTGCCAAACCAAAGCAAACATCCACTATTACTTTTAATATCTAAATTTGCATATGCTGAACAAGAACAATTTTTCAGACACATTTTCTCACATTCCTCGAGATTCATACTCTTATCAAACCAAGAATTTGATGTATCTGGCAACTCTACTCCTGAATGCTTTAGAAATTCATCTCCGATACAGTTTAATGTTATTCGTCTAACACATCCACCAGACCAATCTAAAGAATTCCACTTTTTGTAATACTTTGGTACAAAACCTTCCAAGCATTGACATGTTCTTGGAGAATTTGTAATATTGCAAATAGAATTAGCATCACAGCTTGAATAATATTCACACTGATCCATCGGACGGGTCGATATAATCTCCCAATCTCCTTCTCTATCTGACCATGCCAGTCGTTGAGCAAAACCTGATGGATTTAGCCATAATCTAGTAATAGTTTCATTTTTCAAAGTTTCATACTCATAAGAAACTTCTTTATCATTGAACACTAAAGAAAATTTGAATAGTTTAAGATTCCTTAGCCATGAAACTCCACCAAAAGCATAACCATTCCATGATCCACCTCTACTAAATAAAACTTTTCCCTTTGTAGTAACTAGTTGAGGAAATCCGTGAACATCTATGTGATAGGAAAACTCACCTAGAGAAGGATCTTCAACACTTTTCCAGGATGTTAAAGACCTAAAAGGACCGTTAACTAAGTTTGTCTTAAGTTTCATTCCTGCAAGAAAAGTGTCACCAGGGTAATCAAAACTCTCCCACAAAATCTTCTCTCCGTCTTTCACAACAAGGTTTCCTGAATCTAAAAGCGTCAAGACCGGTTTCAAGACTGGTCCCTCCGCGATTGTTGATGCATTGGATGACCATGTGATCCTTCCAGAATCCTCAACAATAATAAGAGTTCCTTGATATGATAGTTTCAGAATTGGTGTTGAGGTTTGTATCGGAGAATCTCTATTGGCAATCCAAACATAGGTTCTAGGTGATATGGTTTTGTACCATATACCAAAGTATTGAAGTTGTGAATTTGCAAAGTTGAAGAATCCAGCTTCAAAAGTTACAGCTGAAGATACCAAAGTCTCATTACCTTGGATATAATGATTTGGTGTAATAGTAGTAAAAGTTTTATATTGTAAAGATAAAGTGGGAATAATAAAACAAAAGAAGAAAGTGTGAAGCATTAGCATGAGAACCTTGCATATTTGCATTATGTGTGGTTATTAGCTTCTATGTGAATTTCAACAAACATTGATTTGAAGAAGAGGTTGAGTAAAAGTCAATAGCATAACTGAATAATAGAGATGAAAGTTGAGACTGCAATTAAGGATTGACATGGCACCTCAAGGAAAAAGGTTCACTGTATGTTACAATAAATAGGGGACAGATACAGGAAATTGAATCTGCTGCAGTCAAAGAACAGGGTCAAATTGATTTTGATTGCTCAATTATAGATAAATGTTCAAGACTATTTAAAGAAAGTTTACTAATGCTGTCAACACACTTTCCAATACATTGCATTGACTACAATTTATAAAGGTCCCATTGAATATTAAATTTATGTGAGGCACATAATTTAATAAAATTCAGTTGATGGTTAATAAGTTATCTAATTTTGATATACTCATTAACCTATCAGACAAGTTTTTAAACTTTGCTTTTACAACAAGAATTTATCTAGAATCATACTAACTTAAGATTACACATGCACATCCCACTAATATTCTATTTTCTATCTATCTTTATATAGAATCATACTAACATAAGATTACACATGCAGACCACACTATTATTCTATTTTCTATCTATCTATATTATCGAAGACTAAATTTTAACACCTTTTTAGCAGTATTTCATTCATATCGGCATCACAGTGGAATCTTATCGGGCCTCTAACAATGAGATTGAAGCTTCGTTTAATGAACAAGCTTTTGAAGAAGATCCTGTGCTATTTGAATTATCTTTTCCCGCGTAGAACCCAGGTTCGCTAGGTTTTGGGAGTAGCTTTTCGCCCTTTAACATAAAAACCACAGATGACATGTTAGGTCTGTTTTCTGGTTTCTGTTGTACACACAATAAACCAACATGAATAAATCTTATTATTTCTGAACATATATCTGCATCATATGATATATCAGCTATTAACTCATGTGGCCTTTCTTCAATCCATAGTCTCCATGCCTAAAACCACATCAAAGTTAAAGCAAGAGTAAGCTCAATCTTAACTCAATTCCATTTGATGTAAAGATAATTGATAAATCCTTTTTGTATGCTTTCAACTATTCGCTGTGATATATATTAGTAGGAAAATGCTAATGAGTTCCCTTAGGTCAATGGTTAAACTGGTATAGAAATAATACATTGGAAAGTGGTGTATTCAATTTTTTTTAAATTAAAAATTGTTCTTCCCAGTACGAAATTTCTATTTTTTTGCTTCTTTAACTAGTGTCATTAGGGCACTTGTTAGCATGAACCAAATTAGTAATCATTATAAATAGTGCCATAATATAAAAAACATAAACACTTCAAAACTTACATGACCAAGAAGGTTTAGATGGTGTATGGGGTCACAAAATCCGCGATTCTTCCTACCGCTAATTATCTCAAGTAAAACGACTCCAAAGCTAAAAACATCAGATTTTATTGAGAAATATCCATGCACCGCATATTCTGGAGGCATATATCCACTGCAAGAAAAAACATTGAAGTTAAGAAAAAAAAAATATTAAAAGGGATTATAACAAGGCAGAACTGAATGTTTAAATTACATTTTAGTACACCTATAACTAAGACAAAAACCAAACTAATGAGGACAAAAACAACCTTTCCTATATTTTAAGCTGACAAAAATGTTTCATGTAAGCTAAAACAGAAATCAACTTTAATTACAAACACTTAAGAGTTATTTAAGCCTTAAATTTTAATAAATAAGTGAAAATTACTATGTTCCCATCACTCTATTTGTATTAGCCTCAGCTTGATCTCCCAGAAATGATCTGGCTAAACCAAAATCTGATATCTTTGGAATCATATCATTATCAAGAAGAATATTGCTTGTCTTGAGATCTCTATGTATGATTCTTAGTGTAGAATCTTGATGGAGATACAACAGCCCTCGAGCAATCCCATCAATAATTTCCAAGCGCTTGGTCCAATTTAGTAATTTGCTTTGCATAGTATCTGACAGATTTCATATTTCTTAAGTTAGCATGAGAACTATATTTTGACAAGAGAAAAATTGAGATCAATAGATTTGGATGGTGTGCAAGTTCAAACCAAAAATAAAGCAATCCAAGCTTCTGTTGGGCATGAATTCGTAGATCAACAACTTTTCATCTTGTTGAATAGAACAACCAAGAAGTTTTACAAGATTACGGTGTTGAAGTGTTGCCATCAACTTTACTTCATTTTTGAACTCCTCGGTTCCTTGCCCCGATGTTTTAGAAAGCCTCTTTACAGCAATCTCTTGGCCATCTACCATTATGCCCTAGTAATGATTTTAGAAATTTTAGTATACTTATAGCACTTGCCCAAATAAAGGAATAAATTAACTTGGTAACCAAGACTTTACCTTGTACACTGTTCCAAAACCACCTTCTCCTAACTCGTTTCTGTCAGAGAAGTTATTTGTTGCATTAGTGATGGTCGAAAAATCAAATATTGTAGCCAAGTCACCATCTTCCTTCTCCGTTTTGTGCTTCCGGTGAAATAACTTTTTTATATACCCTGTAGCAACAATTTAAGTTGTTTAATGTTCACAGTAAAGGAACAAAGCAATCAAACTTCAGAGTTCATTGTAAGTTGTAACTAATTCTGTTGCAACACTATTTTAGTAAATCATAAATATTTGAGATTTACTTGTTATCATAGCTTTTTCACTTGGCTTACCAAGCTTATTTCTAAATGCTGATGTGACCAATACAAGAATGGATAGTCCTATGATGAATGCAATAACCCCAGCAAGAGTCCCAACAAGCTTCAAGTTCCTCTTATTCTTTTTATGATCTGAGGGTTGAAATAAGTGTCAGTCAGCAAGCAGGTATAAAAGCTTACTAAATAGAAGATAAACCACATCTATAGAGAACAACACAACTTCGATTTTGAAGTTGATTCATAATCAACAGTTCTTAGAAATAGGTCAGCTATATATTTAAAAGTGAAAAGAAAATTTATTAGTGCCACCTAATTTCAGGTTTTCAACAGTACTTAATCTATCAAGACAAGTGCTGAATTATATAAACTAGAGTGGTATATCTAATTGAAAAGGCAAACGATGTAATAGGAAATGAAAATACCAAGCTCTGAAGATGCCAGCCTTATGTAAATGTCTTGCCCTTGGTCTGGATGTTTTCTCATGTCCACAATGTTGTCAAACCAATGTAAGCAGCCACTCCCACCATCTCTGATATCTAAATTTGCATATGCGGTACAGGAACAATTTCTCAAACACTTTGTCTTGCATTCCTCAAGACTCAAGCTCTTGTCAAACCACGATGATGACGTATCTGGCAACTTCATGCTTGGGTACTTCAAAAATCCATCTCCATGGAGACAATTTAAATGTATTTTCCTAACACACCCACCAGACCAATTTGATGACTTCCATTTTGGTTGAAATTTTGGCATGAAACCTTCCAAGCATTCGCATATTGGAAAGTCGTCAATATTGCAATTAGAGTTGATACCACAAAAGGCATAATCATCACACTGGTCTGCCGGACGAGTAGCTATAGCCTCCCAATTTTGTGTCGTATCTGACCATTGAAAACGTTGTGAGATTCCGTATGGGTCTAGAACCACTCTAGTAATAACTGAACTGATCAAAGTTTCATATTGATAAGAGATTTCTTTGCCAGTGAACATTACTGAGAAATTCAAAACTCTATGCATTCTTTGCCAAGAAACACCAGTGAAAAGAAATCCATTCCATGACCCTCCTCTATACAGAAATCTTGCTCCCTTTGCATTAACCAGTTGAGGTAAACCATGTGTATCTATCCTATATGAATACTCACCTTCAGAAGGGTCTTCATTGTTTCTCCAAGATGTGAGATATCTATATGGACCAGTAACTAAATTACTTTTCAGCTTCATTCCAGGAAGGAAAGTGTTTCCAGGATAATCAAAACTTTCCCAAAAAAAGTTCCCACTGCTGCATGCATCTTTCACAACAAGGTTTCCAGAATCCAACAACTGCACAACAACTGGTTTCACCACAAGTCTAGATGTATTGGAGAACCAGACAACGCCTTTTGAGTTATCAAGAATAACAAGAATTCCCTGATCATTGAGTTTCACCAATCCTGTTGAGTTTCGAATAGGGGTGTCTCTATTGGCAACCCACACAATGGTCCTAGGTAGAATGTTCTTGTACCATATACCAAAGTATTGGCGCTCTGTATCTCCAAAATTGAAAAAACCTGCTTCAAAGGTTCCAGCTGCAGAAACAATTGTTTCAGGATATTGGATAAACTGATTTGGAGCAATAGTAGTAAATGCATTCTGTTTAGAGAAAATGGGCATGGAGCAAAAGAAGAAAGTACACACCATTAGCATTAGCACCTTATTATGGTTCTCCATTGTGTTTGTGTGGGTTCGTCCTCATCATTTTCATTTTATCGAATTCCATTGAGACCACTTAGTCCAAGTCTTTCCATGTAACTCCAAACAGAGAACGGTCCAAGTAGGCAATGAAATAAAGACAATTTCCATTTTTGTTCCCATCTACAAACAAACAACTCTCAAATCACCCACCTATCATCCACAACCTCCTAGCAGCGGCATCTGAAAAAAGGTGTGTCCGTATCAGTGTTGGTGTCTGAAACCAGACACTGACACTTGTGATTACCTCAGTAGCACTGACACCTCTGAAAAAAGACATATATATGTTTGTGTCAGACACCGACGTCGGCACGACACCGACACCTATGCTTACGTTCAATATATTAGTTTTTTCAAATTATTACTGGTCAACATGTGTCAGTGTCAGTATCGTGTTTGGTGTCCGTGTTTTTGCTTCATATGTGATTACATCTAATTTATTCATTCTTTTCAAATTATTACCGGTGTCGACATGAGTGTGGTGTTTCCGTCGTGCTTCACAGTCCACAACACTATTTCAAATCAACTAAGACCAAGTCTTCTTTATCATGAAAATGATGTAACGTCCAAACAACAACATGAAGCCTGTGATGTACTACAAATTAAAGTCATTTCAAATTTGTTTATAGAGTTGCCTATGAAATAGGGTACTCTGATTGAAACAACTTCCCATAAACGTGTGCAATGTAGATACCTCAAACATAACACAAAGTGATAGTGATGATTGAATTGGTCTGTGGAGTATAAAATAAACCAAATTTTCAAACGATACAAATTAACTTTGAAACTTACCCCGCAATTTTTTCATCTTCATTGTCACGCAAACCCTAAATGAACCAGCGCTCGGCGCAAAGAAACGGCGACATCGCCGTCGAGATCGAAAAATACCGGCGGAGGAATGAATCGACGAACCCAATCGAAGCATTGTTTGTTCCTATCTGAGTTGATGAAAATTTCGCGCCAATAATAAGACTACAAAGCAAAAACATTTTAAATAATTAATTATAAAAAGAGAAAATACAACTTTTAATTAAAGTAATTTTTAGGTGATTTTCAAATTCTTGGTTTATTTAATAATCTAAACTTTCAAAAAGATATAATCTTTTCTAAATTTTTAATTTTTTTTAATTGAAATTAGTTGTAACAATTTGACTCTAACAAAATTAAAATTACATATTTCAACTAATATAATAAATTGTATTCCTTCAAATAATAAACTAATTCTTTAAAACTCAAAATAAAAAGAACAAAGAGAATATTTGATTTACGAAAAAAATCAATTTATTAAAAATAAGCAAATTAATGAACTGTTAAATATGAGAAAGAGAGAGATAGAGGGGGGGGGGGGGGGGGGGTAATTTTGTAGAATTATGAATCATGACAAAGAAAAAACTGTTTTAAACATTGATAAAATATTTAAAAAGAATTAAAAAAAATTGAGAATGTTTGAGATGTGGAAAGAATTAGCTTAATTTTAGATTGGTCTTTTATTTAAGTGGATTCACAAAATTAATTTCACTATGCAAACTTTTGAGAAACTAACATGTCATTTTCCACTTATATATTATATATTATATGTTGACACTCTGTTAGAGGTATTTTTATTATAAAGTCCTTGTATAATATTAAATTTTTTGAAATTTACTCGTATTGAATATTTCAACATAATATAGAATTTTTGTGGAAATTATCTCTTTTATCGCGGCGCATGTATTTTTGTGGAAATTTAAAAATTTTGGTTTTATGCTAACCGGAAATTCTGGTTTATATAATTGTTTTTTAAAATTGTTTTGGAAATTTTGAATTTTTTAATAAATCGCATCGAAAATTTTGAAATTTTTAATAAATCAGAATCGAAAATTTATAAATTATAAAGAATTTTTGGTATACGCGACAAAATTCGGCATCAAAAATTTATCAAGAGTATCAGAAATTTCGTTTTTAATCTTTTTCACTAATAGTAAATTTTTTTGACAAATATAAAAATTTTAAAAATAAATAGTGAAAAGGACATTTTAAGAATATTCATGTATAATTTTAGAGGTGGCTGGTTAATTTCTCCAAAATTTTTTAGTCTCACATTTTTGTATTTAAATTGATTGTTTGTCTATTTTTAAATAACATGTCATTTGTGAAATTTAACAAATAATCATATAATAACATTTTATGAAATTTTATAAATAAAAAATATAAGTTAAAATGAACACTTCATTAGTTTTTAAATAAAAATTTACAAATAATTAAAATAAAGGAACCCAAATTATAATTAAATCAACAAAATTAATAAACTACGTTATTAAAGGGAGAAAAGGAGACATATGAATAGCATAAAGTGGTAAATAGTTTTATAGAATTGTGATACATCAAAAACGAATATTTAAGTTTTTTATTATAAAAAACATCACAAATTTAATTTTGATAAAATTGAAAAGGGAAATTTTGCAAACAATCTCACTGAACTAAATTAATTAATGGAATAAAAATGACAGAATGTCTATAATTTGTTTTAAAACTAATTTAGAAGACATATTTATATATGAATTTAATTGATATGCAATGTAAAGAAATTTTACATTGTCAGTTGTTCATTAAATTTTATTAATGTTTGACTTTTATTCTAATAAATTATAAAATAATATTTTCGAATGGTTGTGATTCACTAATGGTATAAAAAAAGTTACACTGACAATGCATAGCATTTAATATATATATATATATATATATATATATATATATATATATATATATATATATATATATATATATATATATATATATATATATATATATATATATATATGTGTGTGTGTGTGTGTGTGTGTGATCTTATTGATGATCAGAAAATATGAGGTGGCTGGCGACACGTCTGCAAGCTTGAACGATCAACGGGGGAGGGGTTGTACCTGCATACACTCTGATGCTTAAGTCAGTTCGGGTGATAGGAGAGTAAGAAAGGGTAAAGAGTTGAATATCTTACTCTCCTGCAGATGAGTGTATTTATAGTGAGCCCTAGCGCTAGGTCAATATTCTCCATTATGGGTTGAGTAACCAGACCCATAATGGATGACTTCCAAAATTCCCACGTGAAAGTGGGGATGGGCAGCACGTGCTCATCGTCCTAGCCAAACGCTCCACAATCCTCAGGAAGTGGATGAACTTGCCCGTTGTAAATGGCAGAATGGTTCCACCAGTCACACAAAGTGTGCGGGTGTGGCTGGTGACGTGTTCTCGGATAAGGAGCATGTGGGGAACGTATTCTCCAATGGCCTCAATGGATAGGGTCAGCGCTTTAGATTGTTCTCGATATAGAGTTAGATTGGATCGTGCCCGACGATGGGCCAGTCGCATGCCTAGTCCAGAGCAGGAGCCCCAAAATCGTTGCTCCTAGACAAAGGAGTAATGAATTAGAGTCAGTTTGTGTGTCGGGGAGGGGCAAGGGACTCTGTTGTTAAGGACCAAAATATTGATATATTTATGGATGATTGTATAGTCCGTTGCACTCTATTTTGATAATTAGTAGTGTTTAAGTTGATGAATTGGTGTAAATAAGCAATGTTATGTTTGTAAATAACTTAATTTGCTCACTTTTATGCTAATTTTGTAGGTTTTGATGATGGTGAATGAAGCATTGGAGCTTTGGCCAAGCTTGGGCCAAGAATGATGTGCAAAAAGTCAAGTTTTAAAGATTTGTTCAGGCTTGCACGCTAAGTGCATTTTGGAGCGCGCTCAATGCCAAATTTTTCATTTGGCAGAATGATGTGTTTTTGGGCCCGCTAAGCACGGCGATCCCGCTTAGCGGGGTCCTCTGGAGCTGAAAATGTCTTTTTATTGAGCCCGCTTAGCGCGATCAGGCCGCTTAGCGGGACTCACTTTTTAGGCACTTGTATAAGTAGTATCTTGTGATATTTTGATCAACCTAACACTTACCAAACACACCAAAATTGGATATTTAGGTCAAAGAACAAACTTTTCATCATTGGTAACTCAAAATCAAATGTTTTGATCTTAAATCTTTGATACTTTCTTGTTGATGCTTCTAAAGTTTTCCACTTTACTTGTTCATCAGGCTACCATGTTTATGTGTAGTTAAATCCCTCTTTGTGTCAAGATTAGAGGTAGATAATCTTCACTTTCGTATGTATTTCTCTTGATATTTTGTATGTGAACAAGTGATGATTAATATATGGTGAAAAGCCTTGCTTTTATGGTTTATTTATGATTTGGATCATTATTGAGAAATATGTTTCAACTCTTGACCTAAGTTTTCATCTATCAACAAATAATTTCTAGGCATAGTTTTGTGAGTTGATATTCACCTATATCAAACTTTAAAGTTATCATATTGATAGTTAGGTAGATAGATCATTTAAGGATCAATATGATACAACTCACAATATTTCTTAAACACGAAACATGTTGAGAGGATATGTGATTATATTTATTGTTAATGGGTTCACATGCTTTATTAAGAAAATATGTACGAAATAGATTATTGAGCCCTAATCTTGACATGCTTTTACCAATCATTTAAAACCAAAACTCTCTTTTACCAATACTTGATACCTTTCATGAAATCGAAACTTTCCGTTACCAAAACTAAAACCTTTTATGAACCTTACACTTAAAACAATTTCAACTGTAGAACGGCGGTAATATCACACCAATCTCTGTGGAAAACGATAATATAAATACTTGCCTTATAAAAGTATTTCAACTCTTGGCTTATATTTTCATTTATCAACAAAAAAATTCTAGACATAGTTTTGTGAGTTGATATTCACCTATATCAAGCTTTTAAAGTTATCGTATTGATAGTTAGGTAGGGAGATCATCTAAGGATCAATATGATAAAACTCACAATTTGTTTTAGACATGAAACGTGTTGAGAGGATATGTGATTATATTGATTATTAATGAGTTCACATACTTTATTGAGAAAATACATATGAAATAGATAATTGAGCCGTAATCTTGACATGCTTTTACCAATCGTTTAAAACCAAAACTCTCTTTTACTGATACTTAATACCTTTCATGAAATCTAAAATTTACGTTACCAAAACCAAAACCTTTTATGAACCTTATGCTTAAAACAATTTCAATTGTATAACGGCGGTAATATCACACCAATATCTGTGGAAAATAACGGTAATATCACATCAATCTATGTTGGGTTGTGTTCAACGTTGGGGAGAAATAGGTAGGTTAGTTGTCGAGAATTTAAAAGTGGTTTAAAGAAAAAAGGGTTAACAAAAATTATTGAGAAAAAGAATCAATGAGAAGTTGAGCTCTTAAAAAGAAAAAGAAAAGAAAAGCCAAGGGCATAAATTGTGCCGGTAAAAGAGCTCAAGGTTGTATGTTTATCAAAGAAAAGAATACAAGAGGAGTGGAGTTTTGAATTGTGTAAAGGTGTGAAAAATTGAATGCTCTCATGAAATTAGGCAAGTTAGTTTCAATTACCTTAAGAAATGAGTTTTCCTTGTAACTAAACCAAATTATAACTTTTGCTTGACATTTTTTATGCTTTGTGTGTGATGAATGCATGATTTGATCTGGATATTGGCATGATTTTTGTATGAGTGAAAAAGCCTTCATGTTGTTTCTCATTCATTGATGAGTGTGTGTTTAGGTGTGATTCATTTTTTAGATGTATTGTTTTGGAATTTTGATATGTTTTATGCACTTAACCATTGTTTCATGTTTATGGTTTGTTGTAGTATAGTGGTAAGTATTATCTTGTTTGTTTTTGTTAATTTGAACCATGAAATTGTCTTGGTTTTCTTTTGGTTGTGGAATTTTAGTTTAGGGACAAACAAAATTTTAAGTTGGGGAGAGTTGTTAAGGATCAAAATATTGATATATTTATGGATAATTTTGTGGTCCTTTGCACTCTATTTAGATAATTAGTAGTGTTTAAGTTGATGAATTAGTGTAAATAAGCAATTTTATAGTTTATGTTTGTAAATAACTTAATTTGTTCACTTGTATGCTAATTTTGTAGGTTTTGATGATGGTGAATGAAGCATTGGAGATTTGGATAAGCTTGGGCAAGAATGATGTGCTAAAAGTCAAGTTTTAAAGATTCGTTCAGGCTTGCACGCTAAGTGCATTTTGGAGCGCGCTATATGCCAAATTTTTCATTTGGCAGAATGATGTGTTTTTGGGGCCGCTAAGCGAGGCCATCCCGCTTAGCGGGGTCCCCTGAAGCTGAAAATATCTTTTTATTGAGCCCGCTTAGCGCGGTCAGGCCGCTTAGCGGGACTCACTTTTTAGGCACTTGTATAAGTAGCATCTTGGATATTTTGATCAACCTGGCACTTGCCAAACACACCAAAATTGGATATTTAGGTCAAAGAATAAACTTTTCATCATTGGTAACTCAAAATAAAATATTCTAATCTTAAATCTTTGATACTTTCTTGTTGATGCTTCTAAAGTTTTGCAATCCTTTTTTTTAAGGCTGCCTTTTGTGCATTTGTAAGATTTTCTCATAAATCATCATAGCCACCATGAACCATTGTCAAGGAGCCAAAAAGTCACTTCATCAAGGCACTCCATGTTTTCTAAATCCTTCCATTGAGAACTAAGATGTTAAATGGAAAACTCCCATTTGTATTCATCATTTCTAAGTAAGAACACTGAAAATCACACATCTCACTTGGTGTTTCCCAAGGATTTATCCCCTTACCCGCCTTTCGTGTTTTCCTAAATTTAAACTAGGCTCTAAATGTAATTTGTTAGTTTTAGAATTAGAATTTTACCTAACTCATTCCAACAAACCTGGCTTGTAAGGTGATAGGTGTTGCTCTATATAAATCTTATGTATGTTATATCTTTAATCAAAGTGAGCCTTAAGTTTTTGCCAATACATCTCACTCACTCCTGATATTAATGGTATTGGTGCATGGATATAAACTATGGGTGGCCCAATTTATTGATATGTGAAACTTGTTTTATTCAATACCTTCCCTCCTGCCTAAGACTATTGCGATTGGTGTACATATATAAATAGTGGGTGGTCTGAGTTGATACGCTCTTGATACAATATTAAAATTAGATTTTTTTTATAACTCATTCCTACAAAAATCACTTGTAAGGTAATGAGTATCATTCTATATATAAATTATTTTTATGCTCTATCTTTAATCAATGAGGGGTTTGTGTTTTTTTCCAATAGTTAGTGCAATAATAGGTATATTGTTTTGTAAGAAATCTATGAACGCTCGTTGTAAAATAGAATTAACTATTGAATATTACAAAAAGAATTATTTATTGTAACTATGATTCATTGATTATGAATAGATAGGGTTACAAGTTATTTATATTGATTTCTTATTGGTTAAGTAATAAACTTAACCAACTAACAATCTAACTAACTAGTCAGTTATTCAACTAAATTTGAACTAACTAATAAACTAATTCACTATAATTATGGATTAACATTTAACAAAATCTACTATATTTCTTTTATATTTCTCTCTTTATCTATTTCATTATTCTTTCTTATAAACTTATCTCTTCTCACTTTCTTCTCACAATAAAAAAATACTCTAAATATAAATGTTGTGATAGATGTGTTACAATGAAAGAAATAAAAAAAATGACATGATAGATAGTTTAATATCTTAATGACACAATGAAAGGAATAAAAAAAATGACGTGATAGATGTGATATGTTAATGTAATGATATGTTAAGTAAGACTTGAATATAAAATTTGGTTATGGAGCTTAAAAATATCCTAATATAAAATTTTAATTTGTGCTATTAAATTACATTGTAAACATGCTATGAAACTTGGTAGAATATGAGTAAAAATATTTCTTTTCTTTACCTAAATTATATAACAATACAAACCTCCAATTAAAAATAATATGGTACTCTGCTCTTAATTAAATTACTCACTTAATTAAACTTACAAAAAGAAGTATTCTTTATTTTGCTACTAATTTCTTCAATAATTAGATTTTGAATCAATACTAAAGAAAATGTTCTAACAACATCTTTTATTTATTTGTAACTTTTTGATTAATTTTTTTATGTATGTGTTCCCTAATACTATAATCTTTCACAAGGACTAAAATGTAACAACATCCACTTAAAACCATTGTCACTCACCTAATTCTAATTCATAATTGATTCAAGCAAAAGCAAATTCCAAGTATCTGGAACCCCGGCTACACACCAATGTGTACAATCCATGCCATGGAAGCCATTATGAGAACTAGGATGTCCATCTTTTCTCAATTCTGAAAGAGCTGTAATATTAAGAAGATGAACATGCTTTGTTATTTTCTCCAAAACACTCTCCAATACATATGATGCTTTTGGTAATCCAGACGTTGATGATAATCCATTTATTGGTGTTGTCTCTTTTGCACAATTTGTTACTCCTGGCTCATTCCATTCTTCTCCACTAATTTTTATATATAAAAATAAAAATAATCAGAGAGACATTAATAACAAACTAACAAAGTATCATGTTAAATGGGAGAAAATTTATGAAACTCACTGGTAGTGCATAGGAGAAATTCCTTGGAAAAGAACTTTGGTTTTGGTTGTATCAACATCTGTATCAACCCATTTAGCCCAAGTTGTCAAACCCGTTTTAAAAGCTTCCATTCTATCCATGTCTTTCACTATTTTGTCTCCTATTTGAATATAATCCCATCTGCAATAAAAATTCAAAATTCCAACATTATTTGAATATAATCTCTATATTATTAGGTTTATGATTTTTTTAGAAATCTTACGGTTGTTTGGGCCCACTGCGGTACCACCAAAGCCAAGTGTTGAAAACCAAAACATCCATTTCTTTCCATATGTTTCCTCCTTTGAGAGAATCGAGTTTCAATACTCTACCAATTTTTTCCACTTCAATGTCAACTAAATATGTACTATGGTAGACAATAACTGAAACTCCATACTCCTGCAAAAATATTGAAAAATTACTTGAAATTTTAATAAAAAATACATATCTTTATTGCAACAATTAAAAAATATGATTTGTGATGGAAGATATGACTGACCTGGAATGTGTGGTTTGTGATGGGTTCACCATCCACTTGTGTTACAGTAGCGTTAGGTAAAATTGAATGAAGCATACATATAAATGATTGCCATTGGTTCAAACTCACTGAATCTCCAATATACATGATTTGTTTTCCCTTGAATTTTGTCAAGAAACTTTTTCCATCAAAACTGCAAAGATCATTATATTTTTTTAACAGTCACATGAATGATATTATTATGGAACAAAGAGTGAGAGATTGAATGAGTGTTACAAGGTATTTATATAAGAAATATTCCTCATGCAGTTCTATTGTATACTAGCATGCAAGATATATAAAGTTGTATTTAAATAAATAACTTACAATAACAATTCTAACAAACTAACAACTTTAACTAATTTGTAAGCGTTATGCTATTTATGATGTGGCTTCACACTTCTTACTATTATTTGAAGCGTAAACTACTTTGTCATTTTGATGTAATATTTCTATGAGTTAAATGTTTGTAAGTGTAAATCATTTTAAACTTGGATATTAAAAATGGAAAGGTTAATGTAACAATGGTGTGGTGAAGAAGTCGATCAATTGATCTTTGGAGGACACGTGTTCCCGCAGTAAGTTTTTCCCTTATTATGCAGAGATCAATTTCTAAGTGCTTTGTTCTTTCATGAAAAAATGGATTGATGAAATGTGGAGTTCTTTTTTATTGTGACAATAAAGCACCGATGTTTTGATGGTGTTAACTTGTAGATCTTGATGCAAATAAAGCAATCATTCAAGCTCTCAAGTGCTAGATGCTAAAACCCTATATTTTGGTTGTAATGATGAACTCAATATAGCTAATTGATTCTTGGTTTTCCTAGATATAAGTCACTTACCTAAAAAGAAACATTATCGTGAAACTGATCTCCTATAATCTAAACACCCAACTTAATTTACATCAAAGTATTATTGTATTTGAATTTGTGAATCTCTAGGAAGTAGTATGCCATATTCAAGACAAGTTTTTAAGTTTCATAAGAGTTAAGACTCGGGTTGCAACATGGAAGTTGTTCATAGTAGGTGAAAACAAAAATTGGTTCAGTTGATGAATGCAAAATGTTATGTCGGGTCTAGTAGCACTTAGGTATAACAATCTGCCAACTAATCTTCTACATGATGGAGTCTCAAGATAAGGTAGGATAGAAACTTTATAGCTTGAAGATGGATCATAAGGGGTATAAATTGGTTTAAAACATAACATCTCTGAGTCTTCTAGTAGGTCCAAACAATATTTTCTTTGGCACAAATAAATTTCATGTTTAGAATACACAACTTTAATCCCAAGAAAGTATTTCAACTATTCAAGATCCTTAATCTTAACAGAGTTATGTAGTGCATCTTTGATGATCTCTAATTTTATTAGTGTATCACTTGCTATTTGCACAACAACACATCTAAGTTGGTGAATAGAGATACATACATGTAAATGTCTACGTGAATTGATCTCTTCCCATAAAGCTTCCAGTTCAATGAAATAATCCATAACAAAGTTTTTGGATTGCTTTAAATTGATGATTGATGATCGAATGGAAGAAATTTGAATCTTGCCGGCTTTTGAAGAAAGCTCTTGCAAACCAGTCTATACATCAATTGTATTTTTATGGAGCAATATAATTGAAGCAATCTGATCAAAAATAGAATTCAGTAACCAAGAGTGGATGAGATGATTGCTGTTGTGATACAAGTGTGAGTCGAAAGTCCATCATTTCTTGAAAAAATGGAGGATGAACACTTTATAAGTGAGAGGATCCATATATCCAATGTCTTAAAATTATGGGTGAATATGTGGTGTTTCTCTCTCTCATTTGTGTGGTTGCTCTTGACTCAATATGGGTGTTTTTCCCCATAACCAACCAGTGTATCAAAGTTAATGGTTTGAATAAGGGACCGCCTCTTTGTATCAAAAGTCTTCATGATAATGTGGTAGTCGGCTTGCGTGTCCCACTTAAGTGTTCGTGACGTGGTAAATGGGTCAATGACAATACAAGTTTATGTGGATGAAAGAGCTCCAACTTGATGAGGGCATATTGGATGGGCTCACGCTTGAAGAAGAAGAAATTCTTGAGATACAAGTGTGAGTTGGAAGTCCCACATTGTTTAAAAAAATGGAGGTTGAACACTTTATAAGTGAGAAAACTTATATATCTAATATCTTAAAGTTTTGAGTGAATATATGATATGATCTCTTTCACTTATGTGTTACTCTTAACCAGAGTTATTAATCCCGGATAGCGGAGCGGAGCGGCCGACCCCCAGGAATGGCAAAAGTGGGAATAGCGGGATAACTTTTTGTATACTAATAATTATATAATAATCTATAAAACATATGTCGTGTAATACTAAACTAATTTTACAACACTCATAAAATATTTATAAAATCTAATGTCAAACCAAGAATAATGCTTAATCAAGATTCAAATTCAAACTTAGTACTATCATATGAAAATTCAAGCAAACATAGAAATCATGTAGCATCATCAAAATATTCCTCAAATTCTTCATTTTCTTCATATTCCTCCAATTCTTCATCTTCAACTTCTTCAAAATAGAAAGAAACGGTGTTTACAACAAAACAAAAATAGAAGAAGTAGAAGGTAGAAAGAAAAGAATTAGAAAGAAAAGAAGTATAATAAGTTGAAGTAGAATAAGTTGAAGAATTAGAAGAAATTACCTGAGATGGTAGAAGGAGATGGAGGAAGAATCAAAGAAGGAGAGTTGCAGGGAAATGGCGGCAGAATCGCAGAAGGAGAGTGGAGGAAGAATCAAAGAAGGAGAGTTGCAGGGAAATGGCGGCAGAATCGCAGAAGGAGAGTGGAGGAATTAGGGCACGATAAAACACAGCGAATGAGGGAGAAAGAAAACAAAAACTGTTTTAAAACAGAGGCATATTTAAGTAATTTGGCCCAGAAAATTGTTTAAAATAAAAAAAAAGAGAACCGGAGCCGCTCCGCCCGGGAACTTCCCGCTACCCGCTACCCGGGAACGCGGCTGAAGCGATCGCTTTTTCATCTCCGCTACCACACCCTAAATAGCGCGCGAGGGGTGCCGCACCGCTACGGTGTACCGCTATAGCGGCCGGAGCGCCCGCTATTGACAACTCTACTCTTAACCCAATATAAATGCTTTTTCTCATGGTCCATCAATTGCACAGTTCTCTTTAGTTTTGATTAAGATCAAGAAAAAGAGAAGTATCCTTAAAACCATCTAGTATGGATCCATCGAAACTTATTCTTGGCATCTAAAGCTCTTTGAATATATCTACTCAAAGTAAGGTTATTCAATTCAATCGACTTTAGAACAATTGAATCAGAATTGGAGCCTTCATTGGATGAAAATAAAAAATTGAATCAATATCAATAAGTGAAGGAATATTTGGAGCTCCACACGCTAAGGAATGGTTGTGAAAGATTGATTAAGATGAACAAAGATGAAAACAATGAATCACAAAAGTAATGCTCCACAGTGGATTCAAATTGTAACAAAATTATTATGTAGAAAATCAAAGAAAGGAATGCTCAATGCTAGTTGTGTTGTGGCTTCACACATCTCACTATTAGATTAAGCAGACACCACTTCATCACTTTGATAAAATAGATATAAAACCAAATAATACAACTCACGGATTGATATTGTGAAAGGTCCTAAACTCTTTCTCCTTTACCAAGAATGATGCCATTTTTTTATTGTGAAAACTTATAAGCTATCACATGATGTATTTTGCTATTATTTACACAAATCCAACGCGAAAAACAAAAATAAAAAAATTATCACATGTGAGAAGAATACATTTTTTAAACTTTTACAAAAAAATAATATATATTTTTAAAATTTTCAATGTGTTTGATTAAGTTTTCAAATAATAATAATTAAAAAATACTAAAATTTAAATTTTTTGACAGATACTAAAGTTTAATTATGACATCAAAAAAATTGAATTGTTAGAATATGACATTGTAGACCCTAAAAAAAAGGGTTGACATTAAATATTCTCTATCATAAAGTTACATTTGACTTGACCGTTTAATATATTTTAATAAAAATAAAATATGATAAATAAAAGATAATAATTATGATCTTTTATTAATATAAATAGAAAATAATACTAGTAATTTAGAAATAGTCTACCAAGCTAATAAAATGATAGAATTAAAAAAATAAGCCACTTTTGGCAAGGATAGATTCTAAGCTTATAATTCATACTTTATAAACAAATTCATATAATTTTTTTGGTGACTATATTTTTTTCACTAGTTTATATAAATACGTGTGGTGTATGTTAAAAACTTTTGTGTGTACAAATAAAGTAGTTTGTATTTCTCAATATATCCAAAAGTCGTATCAAACACGACAACACTTTTTCTGATAAGACTACAAACCTATAATCACATGTTATTAACCTGTTAAGACATACACACCGTCCATTGATAAAAATAAGAATCAATTATATAATTCATGCAACAGCAAATGCACGTTGAACTTTTTTTATATAAAAACTATGAAAATAGACCATTCACACAACACTGAGAATAATACATTAACATCGATAATAATTTAAAAAATAAAAAAAATAATCGTAATGTCAATATAATGTATCAGTGTAATGTTAATGTTGGTGTCATGAAATATTTATGATGTAAAATTTAATAAATTGGTACCTTGATAGGTTACAATTGGTAGGTTGCCATCTATATTTGAGATACTCTTTATCAGTTCTTCCATATTTCAAGCAATCGTATTCCAAACGAATATGAGGACATTTTGAAGAGTCATAAAGAGGGTAAGATTCATCGTAAACCCAACTTCCTTCATATATATTGCAATTTCCTTCATCAGTTTCTTCTAAACAGATGCATGGATTAAGACAAATCACCATGCAAATGGTTATTGCAATCCAACCATAAACCTTCATTTCAAAACCCAGCTCTCTCTTTCTCTTTTGAAATTTTGATTTGTGCGTGAATGTTTGGAGAGATATATGTTTTGTCCGGTATATATATAATAAATTTGGATCTGTCTCTTTATGACACATTAATATAAATGGAAAAAGGTAGTATTATTTTATGTAAATTAAGGTAATATGTAATGAGTCCATTAAGCCTATTTATTTGATAATTGTGGAGGATATCGATATCAGAATTTATGCAATTAATTCATTATTAGAATTTATGTAAATGAAGTTTACTATAATATTAATATAACAAGAAACACAAAATTAAATTTGACATTTTAAAAAGAGAGAAGTAGTGCTATAATGACAATATAAATTAATTTTATACTATCAATCAATCACAATTTTATATTATAATAAATTATTTTAATTTTAAAATAATTTTAATGATAAGATAATTTATTAATTTTTTATTAGATGACAGTGTAAAATAATTTTACATAATCAGTATATATAAATTAAATTCTATTAAAAAATTAATAATTAATTTTAAAAATTAAGATAATTATAAATAAAACTATTATTAGAATTTCAAAAATATTAATATTAAATATTTCAATAAAAAATAATCTATAACTTTTTCGCAATGATAGTTTTGTCAATATGTAAAATATATTACATATTTTTATACGCCATGTCTAATACATATAACGAATTATTTATTTAATCATGTTTTTTTTATAAAAAAATAAGATTATTTATTTCGTAACGTCCATGAATTTACATAAAAAATTTAAAACTTATAAATTATTAAATTTTTTTTTATCCTTTAACTTAAAAAAAAGTTATATATTGATCCTTCCATTTTTTAAAATGTATCATATTTGTCTTTTTTTTGTCTAATAACAAAGAAAAAAATTCAAATAAATTCATTATCGATTTGTTTTTTGTTTTCTTGTTTAATTAATTGGTATATTGTGTTGACTAGGAGTAAAATGCACTGGTATGATGGAAGTGAATAGGATGACGAACCTTGTTCTTCCACGACGTGATTTGATTTAATTGAGAAAAGGAAAAGGAGGAGTTTGAGATCTAGTATTGTTTGGATTTGGTATATTGGAGAAGAATAAAATTAAAAAATTCAGAAATAATTTTAAGTGTCGGTTTTTCTTACGCTAACTACGTTATAAGAGTTGGTCAAATTCATCTGTCATTTTCACATACATTTTTAATAGAATTTGACTAACAAAGTAGACGAAAGGGACTAAAATGCATCTATTAAAAATTTAAAGGAAAAATTCGACATGGAAAAAAAATTAAGAGACGAAAATGAATCTAAAAATATAGTTAAGGGACCAAAATAAATATTTTGTCAAAAGAAAATGTTAAATTTTCTTCCTATTGACCTAGTACTATCACTACTAAGTAATTATAAGTGCCGGAAAAGCGAGCATATGTAGGAATAAGTCATGTCAATTATCAGAGTTTTCGGCCTAACCTACACATCAGACCATATTTTTTTTAAATAGAAAATACTTAGCCTTTTAATAAGCCTATTTAATTAAAAAGACTAAGATACAAATCATAAAAAGTCTTTTAAGCCTATTGGATCATCCTATTTAAATAAACATAGATAAATTTATTATTATTACTTTGTATTTTGTGCTTTAAATTAAAATACAAAAATAAAGTTTAATTATTTTGAAAAACTTTGAAAATAAGTTTTAAAAAATTTTATGAACAATATTATAAGTTGTTGTAATTAGTAGATTTTATATGTTTTCTCAAACAAATTGTATCATAAAACTTATTATAATAGGTAAACTCGAATGAGTCAATGAAAACAAATAATAGACTTTTAAAAAGACTAGTAGGTCAATCAGACCTTCAAAATGCTACATTCAGGTTTACATTTTTTAGCAAATCAGACTCAAACTTAACAAAACTTAATTTGTCTCAGCCTATTCTCATTCCTAAACGCAGTGACCAGAGTTAGAGTCATGGTCGTCACATAAGTTGTCCTTAAAATTTGTAATCACTAATTTGTAATACCGAAATTATTAATAATAATATTATAATTTGAGTATAATATATATATATATATATATATATATATATATATATATATATATATATATATATATATATATATATATATATATATTGTAGAACATTTAATCACAAGATTGGTAAATAATAAAGGGATTGAGTAGGTGGAGAAAGAGATACTAAGAGAGAAGAGAGATGATTGAGGGTGAGAATTTTTATTATACATTCATTGTACATTATACACATATCTATTAGGTATTTATACAAGTGATTGTGAGACAAAAACATCAAGTCAAAAATCAGAAAAAGCAAATTGTCGAGCCTATAATCATAGAGATGGCAATTTGGCCCATGCCCTCTGGTGCAAAAAATGGCCACAATGGAGTAAAAACCCACAAAATGGGTATGGGTACGGGTAATTACCCATTAAAATAAGTGAGTATGAGTGCGGGTACGAGTACCATACTACCCACCCCGCCCCATACCCATACTACATATTTATATAATATGATTTATATTATTATATAAAAATACACGTTTATCAATTTTTTTAAAAAATTATCGTGATTAAACTATTATGTATTTTAGTAAAAGTGTTTATTTATTTCTTAACTCAACAATAACATCCATAATTTTTTTAATATGTTAAAAGCTTATGATATTTTGTAATTAATCGATTCAATTTTACTATAAATACGGGTAAACAGATACGGGTATAGGTACTGAGGTACCCATAGAGTATGATTACGGGTATGGACATTGGTACCCACGCAGATATGGGCTTGGGTACGAGGATTTTGTAAAATCATGGGTATGGGGATGGATACTATAGTACCCTACCCAAACCCTACACATTGTCATCCCTATGTAACCGATTAACACAAACATGTAATCGATTACAACTGACAAAAACAGAAAATTAACTATCAGGTGTAACCGATTACTACGAATGTGTAACCGATTATAGCAACTTCAAAAGCACTTTTCTTTAGCTTATTGACTTATTTTTCATGTCTGTAACCGGTTACACCTCCGTGTTAACCGGTTACAACACTTGAAATACTAAAATTCTTTTAACACGCCACCTTATTTCAAGTGCTCCAAGTCTTTCATGCCCATGTTCATCTTCAAACTTTTGAACACATCATTTGTGACTCTCTTAGTCAATAAATCATCCATTTTGTCTTCACTTCTACAATATCCCAATCTCAACATTCATTCACTAACAAGTTCCTTAAGTAGTGAAACATCATCTCTATATACTTGATACTCCCATGTGCAATTGGGTTCTTCGCAAGATTAATAGTGGAAACATTGTCAACCATGAGCATAACAACCTTACCCTCACCGCTACTTAGGTCATTCAATAGATTCATTAGCCACACGATTTGGTACGTACATAACGAAGCGGCAATATACTCGGCCTCACAAGACAAGGGTGCAACTACCGATTACTTCTTTGAACATCATAGGATTGGTGTTCCACCAAACATAAAGATGTATCCAGTTGTATACTTTCACTCATCTTTATCTCTGCACCAATTGGAATCGGTAAAATTGAGCAAATTGCATTTTCTACCCATATCTGCTACGCAAAAGAGAATTCTGCAACCAATAGATCCTTTGATGTATCTTAGGATTCTCTTGTCTGCTGCCAAGTGAGACACATTCAGTCTCTCCATGAATCAACTCGCAATACCGATACTAAACTTTCCATTTCGGACTGAAGGGTAATCACCTTTTCACGAAGCTCGTAGTTCTCTTGCTCTAGTATGATATCCATCTTCAGTGATTAGCCCGAGTGCAGTTTGACTCTTTTGGAGAAATAAGGTACGAGTAAGAATCTTGAATGCAAAGACTGGATGATGAATGATGAATGGTATGAGACACAAAAAAATGATTTATTATTTTTGCTAGTTTTCAAGGAACTTATTATAAATTTGCAAATATTGTAAAGGAAACAATTTTTTTTTTAAAATAGCCAAAAAAAACCCCATTTCATTAATCATTGAAGGATTACGCTTGAAGTATACTTTCAAATGATCCTAAGAATACAAGAGGAAAACAACTAAATTCTTGGGTCCTAAGGAGTCTCATCTGAAGAACTAAATCCTCCTTGCAGCTTGAGCCTCTTTAAAACCACTGAAAGGTAAATCATCCTGTTGTACCCCAAAATTTGTCCTCTCATTTCTCAAGATTTTTCTCACAAAATTTCTACTGGGTCAAGACTGCACAAGTTTCCATGGATCATATTGGGCTCTCAAGCATCAAATTGAAGAAGAGAAATTTTGCTTTGATTCATGAGCTTCGACTAGGTATTTGGTCCCCTTAGATCAAGCTTTGGTCCACAAGCTTCAATTGGGTATTTGGTCCCCTTCGATTAAGCTTTGGTCCACAAGCTTCGATTGCGCATTTGGTCCCCTTCGAACAAGATTTGGTCCACAAGCTTCGATTGGGCATTTGGTCCCCTTCGAGCAAGCTTTGGTCCACAAGATTCATTTGAGCAGTATCCTCCTGCATGCTTTCTTTGATTCATAAAGCAGTGGCCTCCTGCATGTTTGTTTCGATTCACAAAGCAATGACTATCTTCATACAAGCTTCATTTGGATAATGGCTATCCTCAAACAAGATTCGATGGGGAAATGTTTTCCTTCGAAGCAACCTGTTTAGATTCACAAGGCAAGGGCTCCCATCATGCTAGCATGCACAAAGCAAGGGTTTCCCTCATGCTAGCATGCACAAGGCAATGACTTATTTCATGCTAGCACCCACAAGGCCATGACTCCCCTCATGCTTCGATTCCACCCTTAAACCCTTTAACATATATAGTTTCTACACTATGACACACAATTGGTGGCCCATTCTAAGGACATGCATTGGTGGATTTTGAAGGACATACATGGGTGTCCCATTCTAAGGACATACATTGGTGGCCCATTTAAAGGACAAACATTGGTGTCTCATTCAAAGAA